CTACTTAATTGATAGATTGAAGGATGGAGAGGGAGTTGAGCCGCCTGCAAAAAGGAGGCGACGCAACTAGACTTTTCTTATTTTGGTTCTAATGATAGTCAATTCTGTCTTTTTGGCTCACTCTTTTTCTCTCGCATTGAGACCAAAAACCAAAAATAGGCTCATCAAGAAAACCAGACGTGTCCGACCTTGCGCAATCGGAGTGATGGTTACAACTTAAATGTAGAAAGGGGGAGATGGGGATCATCAAACCTTGATGGCAAAAAACAGACGTTCATTGTTGCTGTCCTAATCATTTTGAGCCATCACTTTGGGTTTCGTTCATAAGCGAACACAAACAGGCACATACAAATACAGAGACAGACACACTCACATGCATAGACGTTGACATTTGACCGTAACTAACCAAATCACCTTATACTAGATCAAATAGGTCAGATGTAGAGTATATATACCCCTTTTTAGGGATTTGCCGGTGAGTTTTCTTTACTCGTTAGCTTCAATTTGGTTGTGACGATGTTACCTCGCTCTGATGATGGACCAAAGCTTAGCACTTTTTCACCGGAATCGAAGGAGATTGCCTCTGAAACAGCGTCATCATGCATGTTCCAGTAAAGCCAATCGACAGCTGGTCAAGAGGAATTCGCCGTCGTCTTCTGATGGAACCGACCTTCGAATCTCTCTCAACTCGAAATGGATGTAAGCCCAACAATTATGAAACAAGAGATTTCTCGAAACCCAACTTTTCTTCGTATTATTGAAAGATCCCGAAAAGCCTCTTGCCTCTTAAACGAGGCGGCGTACGATGGAACGCAGAATCGACCGTCTCAATCACTCGCTGCCTGCATGTCGCGTAGCAACCGGTTGTCAGCCCATCACAGCTGTGACTGGCTCCTGTCCGATCAGAATGCAGAAAAAAATGGACAGATTGGCAGCCCCCGCGAGATTATGAGGTGGTTATTATTAAAATAAGCAATACTACTTATAGCCAAGTGAGTAGTCCGCATAACATTCAGTAGGGCCTGAATAAGAATTTAAATCAGACTGGACTATTTGACCGCTTCTGTCTCGCGATCCGAGGTCAACAACTTCGGCTCCCTTCTTTGTGGAAAATGTATCCCGTGAAGGCCGCGTCTTATCATCTCCGATCCGTCCACTTCTCATCCACTCAGTGCCACAGCTCCACGATTTCGGCGCCTCCTCAGAACTAGGCCAAGGAAGGAGGTTCTTCTTCTTCTCCCTCATCTGTCAACTTGGAAATGGAACAAAGTTTCTCTCGTCGTACCATTCAAAAGCCATCCTCACGCCGGGAACAAGCATACAAACAGCAGCATGCACACACACAAGGCATTTCTTTCCTGTCTATCTTTCTGTGTCTCTGTTAGTTCTGCTTTGTTTATTTTACATTTATTTCGTTACAAGTAGGTTTTCGAGACTAGCAGTACCGAACCACTAGGCCAAATTGCCGTGAATGCCCTTGTGTGACAGAGTTTACGTGTATGTTAACGATGATCGGACCTTTAACCCGTTTCACATTTTGTAATGGGATTGTCGATGGTGTGGTTCTATTTTTCTTGAACGAAATGTCAAACTGAATTGAAACGTAATTGTGCCAAAATTGATCTACCAGTCTGCTTATCCCCTTAAACGAAATAGCGTGAAACACACACCCCCCATGTTGCGTTGCTTCGTTTTTCATTCATAGTCAAGTTAACCATCCAATAAGGTGTACTGGCTCGTCCCCACCTTCTCAACCTGTGAATGTTTATGAATCATATGCATGTATAAGTGAATTATTAAATAAAGTAGCCACATCATTTGGTGCCTCAAAAAAGTCAATATGTTTAGGGTTTATATGATGCTTGCTAAAGTGATTCTTGATTGACTGACTTGAACAAGGTTGCAGTAATGATACCTTCATCTGATGATGCCGGTCATATGAAAGACGACAGTTTTATGTAGCGTTGGCTTGTCTTCGTTTTCGCAACTTGCTCGGAACGACGCCAAGACCTTGTGACTAGTCCTGCGTCCTCGCCCTCGGGTATTTTTGGTACATTCCAGCATCGGGCATTTCGCTGCGTTCTAATTGAGGCGCTATTTTTAGCACAAATGTACAAGTTAACATAGTGACAGGAATGCTTTGTATGTCATCATCTGGTGAGAGGGATGGATAAGTGGGCAATGAACAAGTGGCAGATGGATTGAGGGAGAGGGGAGAATGGGTGGCTGGATGGAGAGATGGGAAGGTGGACGGTAAGATTGTCGAAT